GAACCGGACGACGCCGTCCTCGAGGAGCGGGTCGAGGCAGACGAGGTGGGTGCCCATCTTTGTGGACTCGAGCGCCGGCGAGGACATCGGCAAGGGCGCTCCCGCCGCGACCGGGAAGGAGGAGAGCTCCTCGTCGGTCGGATAGCCTTCGCCCGGCCGGCGAACTTCGCCCGCCCCTGCGGAGGACATCGTGGTGCGCACCTCGGCCACCTTCTCGATCGCGCTCATCGAGAAGGCGTCGTCGAAGAACGCGACCGCCTCATGCGACAGCTACTCGCGTCGCCGTAGGCCTCCCTGACGGGGTCGCCACCCTAGCCTCCTCCTCCACCGGGGAAAGCGGCGGCGTCGCTAGCGCACACCGCTATGCGAAAGAGGGAAGAGAGAGGGGGGAGGGGGGGAGGTGGCGGCCCTCCGCTGCCTCTTGCCTATCTCTCGGCTGCGCCTCCTCTCGGCACGGGCAATCTCCCCCGATCTCCCCGCATCTCGGCGCATCTCGACGCGCATGGAGCGGTACATGCCCGGCGCGGCCACGTGCGGGTTGGTCAGCTCCTCCTCGTCCACGTCGAACGAGGAGGCGGGGAGGCCTCCCAAGTCCGGCTCGGGCGTCGGGCTGAGCCACGACAGGTGGCCCGCCTGAGGACGTGTCGTGGACGTGTCGTGGACGTGTCGTGGACGTGTCGTGGACGTGTCGTCGACGTGTCGTCGACGTGTCGGGGGGACACGGCGTGTGCTCTGAGCTGCGACATGCGGTTTCGCCTGGAGCAGTCGCCGCTGCAGCGCGACGTCCGAGGCGAACCTGTTCACAGCCGGAGGTGTGAAGAGCCGCTCTTCACCGCCGCCGGTGCAGCGCGACGTCCGAGGCGAACTGGGCGGGGCTTCCGACCGCGAGGAGGCCGAGGGGGATGTTGGCGTAGCGCGCCATCGCCAGCTTGTCGCCCCACCACGGCCCTAGCTCCGAGTACCTATCGAGGGCGCCTCGCGAGGTGCGAAGAGACACGGCGATCGTCCACGCCACACCGCCCCCAGAGCACGAGGCGCCGGTCCAGCGCGAGCGAGACGGCGGCGGGCTGCCACTGCGCGCCGAGGAGCAGGCTTGGCGCCCAGTCCCCGTCGGAGCGGTTGGATGGCACCGGCACCACGGGCGCCTGCAGTTGAGCTCGCAGTGAGGCACCCAGCAAACTACCCCGTGGAGGCGCCGGCACCGAGGGCGAGGTGAGCCAGGAGGAGCCGGGAGGGGCCGGGAGGAGCCGGGAGGGGCCGAGAGGGGCCGGGAGGAGCCGGGAGGGGCCGAGGGGGACCGAGGGGGACCGAGAGGGGCCGAGAGGGGCCGAGGAGGGGCGAGGGGGGCCGAGAGGAGCCGGGAGGAGCCGAGAGGGGCCGAGGGGGACCGAGAGGGGCCGAGAGGGGCCGAGAGGGGCCGGGAGGGACCGAGAGGGGCCGAGAGGGGCCGAGAGGAGCCGGGAGGGGCCGAGAGGGGCCGAGAGGGGCCGGGAGGGGCCGAGGGGGGCCGAGAGGGGCCGAGGGGGAGCCGAGGGCGGCCGAGAGGGACCGAGAGGAGCCGGGAGGAGCCGAGGAGGGGCGAGGGGGACCGAGGGGACTTGGGGGGGGGGGGGGAGCCAAGGGGAGCCGAGGTGAGCGGCGGAGACGAAGCAGCGGAGGCGCGCCTGCCGCAGCGACGGCGCGAGCTTGAGCAGGTCGGCGACGCCGTGGCGCGTCTGCGCGAGCACCACTAGCGGCCCCTTGGCCGCCGACTGGTACTGAGGCATCAGCCGCTGCAGCCTCCCGAACGCAGCCTCCCACGTGTCGACGGCCTAGACACGTCCTAGACACGTCCTAGACACGTCCTAGACACGTCCTAGCAGCCCCCCACGCGTCGGCGGCCTCGACCGCCACCGAGAGCTGCTCCGCGAGCGGGTGCGCCTGCGGAGAAAGAGCGTGCTCGCCCCACGGCGCCCTGCTCACTCCAGCTGCCCTCTCCGAGCCGGTGCGCCACCCGCGCGGCGGCGCGCGCGGCGTCGGACAAGCCCGCGCCGCGCGGCCGCACGAGAAGCACCAGCGCGCTCCGCTGCCAGTCGGCGATAAAGGCGGCGACGCCGCGGCCGGCCGTACCGGCCATGTACACGCTGAGCTGCTTGCACGACGCGCCGAGGGAGGAGCCGTCGCGCGAGAGAGGGGGCTGCAGGTACTCGGCCGCGAGGCCGGGGAGCGGGCGCAGCTCCGTCAGCTCGAATCCCTCGTGCACCTGCGGGAGGACTCACGACACGGCTTTCTTTTTACGGCCGTCCTGCAGCTCCGTGCGCCCAAAGCACGCGTCGCGCGCCGAGCGGCGGGGCGTGCCGCGGTGCACGGTGCAGCAGTTGCCGAGCTGCGTCGCCGCGCGCAGCAGCGGCGAGTACGCGGTGTGGTAGACCGCCTCGACGTTTGGCACCTCGAGCCAGCGCGACGCGTCCCCGTGGCTGGCGCGGAACTCGGACTCGGGCAAGGAGACCTCGTACAGGAAGGCGGCCTGCGCGTCGCGAGGCAGCTTCCGCTGCACGCGCAGCCATCCCGGGTGCTCGTGCGGCGCCGACATGGCGACGTACACGGTGCGCGGCACCTCGATCGGGATCGAGTGCAGCGTGAAGCCCGCGTGCGACCCGAGCAGCACCCACGCCGTCACCTCGCCGGGCGCTCCGCCCTCCTGCAGCGTGAGCAGCTCCCACGGCGTTGAGTGGAGCGTCGCCGCCGCGTCCTCGTAGAAGGCGCCTACTCCCATGCCCCCAGAGGTCTCGAGCCCAGTGGTGGGGGGCGCAGGCCCGTGGGTGGCGTGGTAGGCGGCGCCCATCCCGCTGCTCGCCCCGCCGCGCGGCAGCGGCCGCTGCGGCAAGTGCACAGCACTTGCGGAGGCGACGGCGCGTCCCCCGAGGGAGGTTGGGCCGACGCCCTCTCCCTTGCGCCTCTGGTTGCGCGCCGCGCGAATCGAGCGCCACTTGCGCTTGCGAGCCGCGAGCCACGCGTCAGTGCCGACGGCGAGCGTCGTCGGGTCCGCCTCTTGCAGCCGCGCCCGCCTCTCCTCCTCCGTCTCGGGCGGCGGGGGCGTCTTCCGCCCCGCGCCGCCGCCCTCTCCGCCGCCCTCCGCCGCGCCGCCCGCCGCGCCCTCGCGGCCCTCCTCGCCGCCCTCCTCGCCGCCCTCGCCGCCCTCCTCGCCCTCCTCGCCGCCCTCGCGCGGGCCCTCCGCAGCGACGCGCAGGCCGCGCTGCCTGCGCCCGCACCACCGGGGGGGTGTGGGGGCGATATGGGGGAGGTAT